ATTCTAAATCCTAACTATAGTTCTATAGTAAATATATACAGCTATTTCAAAAGAACGTTCTGCGAAGGTAATCGTTGCAGAATTTTGTTTACGAAGATTGAAATATGTATTGAAATTGAAATGTCAGCACAGAACTGAGAAAATATACAGGAAAAACGTGCAGACAAAGTTTGGTTAAATTCCATATCGTTGTCGGACCTATCGCAGATTAGATTCACATCAATCTTCATCACCCATAGTACATTAAGGACTCGGTATATCTCCTGCAACAAAACTTTTACCAACCTTTTTTGAAATAACTTTATCTGCTTTCTAAAATAACTTTGTAAGCTCCAAACCTTGACTTAAAGGTCAAAATATCGTACAAACTTTTTTGCCTTCTCTTGTATTTATTGCTGACCAAAACTTTGCTTGCGAACTACTTCCAACCATGACTAGAAACGACGTCACTTCAAAACTGACTGTCACTGATTGTAAAAATTGACTACGAAAACACAAAAACATGCCTGCCAATTAAATAAAAATATTGGATATTATGTCACTATTATAAGCAACATTTTTTTTTTTTTCATTTGATGGCATGGAAATCCAAAATTTCAAGAGGAATAGTGAGACCTCAGTTTTGCAAATTTTCTCGATTCTAGACTGGCTATGAAAAACTCTCAGCTCAGCTGGTTCAAAACGGCTATCCGTTACGTAACAACAGGGAGCGACACCTTTTCTCGCGACGATGATATAGCTTTTTGTTCTCTTCCCATGACGACTACCGGCGCATTATATTGTTTTTTATAAAGTCGAGGAAGCTGTTCTCTTATTTCCATAAATGCTGCCTCCCCTCGTGTGGGCAGAGATCGTGCCTCTCGTGGTTTAAACTGGTCGCGCTCGGTGAAGAACATCTTTCCTCTGTAAAATCTTGGGTAAAAACCTGGCAAACGGAATTGATGTTCACTTGGAGAAGGCAGAGAGGGCATTCTTTGCACAGAGCTTATACGCACTAGTGGTAATCTTTTTTCTTCTTTTTTGGCCATTTTCATCTGGTTTTGAAAGTGCGCCAAATATTTGCATATCGGCAACAGGTCATACCGTTTCCCGTTCCTCACCCCCTTAGTACTAGTGTCTTTGGACCTCTGGCTTTTTTCGTAAGGAGTCTCGAAGGAGTTTGGATTCGTTCCTTTCATAAGAATAGGGCTTGTCCTTTGTGCTGTTTGTACACGATTCTGTATAGARTTCTCCACCCAAGACGTTTCGTGCTTCGCCATGTGGGATAGGATATTTGTTCTTGACGTCACACCCGGCGAGTACCCGGTAACGTTTTCACCATACGAACGTTCAGATTGCACGTCATCATCAAGGCACGTGCTTATTGGTGTCATGTGACTCGTCATCTGACTATGGTATGCGCCTAGGTGACGTATGACGTCACCTGGGATGTACGCATGCTCAAACCGTGGACTATCTGTGGGCTCCTTGGTAGGGCTAACGCTGTTTGAGTAGATGTCTTCAGATCGTATCTCGGGGTTTCCAGTTGGTTTCACAAATGAATCGATGACTTTGTTCAGCGGTTTGCTACGGAGAGTAAAGATATGATATGTTCAACCTTGATGTCATCTTCACAAGATAATAACAAGGATTGTAAGAATCATGATTCATTAGCGGGGCAGAAGTACATACATGCACCTTTAGGGTCTCAGGTTCGATTCCTGGACTCGACATGACAATTGAGTAGGATTTGTTAGGTCTCTCCTTTGATGAAGGGGTTTTTCTACAGGTTCTCTACGTTTCCCAACTGGAGAACTGCCTACAAGGTAAATTTGCCAATTCGAGCTAGCAGTACCGTGATTTGATCAGCCCAGAGGTTGTTTTG